CGAAACATTTCCCAACATTTCTTGAAACTCGCAGCTTCCTAATTTTATCCATGCAGAGAGAGAACTAGACCAACACACAGTAGGGTGGGTGTCATATAATGCCCAAGAAGAAAGCAGTGCGTGGGAACTGGCATGAGAGTGTTTTAATGAAATACTGAGATTTTGTGACAAGGGCACTGTAATTGTGTACTAAGAATACATTGAAAGATTTACAGAAGTTCAAGATAAGTCTATTCCTCGACCAGTGGGGGACTGCTCTCTACAGGTATTTTCTAGGGCTTTAATTATAGTCTTAAGTTCTCCAGGGGCAGCCTTTCATCAAAACACCAAAGACAATAATTTTACAGACTGCTTATGATTAGGACAAACACTAGATCAAACCTGAACTGCAGACACACGCCTCTAGACTTTGTGGAAGTTCACATCCAGCACTGAATATACTATCCAGAAGAGCTCTGAACACAAATCGCTCCAGACTTGTGGCACATTTAGATGTAAAATGGAGCCTGGCCTTTATACTCAAGCAAACCACTGACAATCAAAACCAGCTACTATTGTCTTGAGTCTCACCTCTCTGTCCAGTCCAGCAGCCACTGTGACAATGTCTCCCGTTTCACTGTTAATGGTAAACATATTCTGCGATGGACTCTGTGGGGTCTGAGTTACAATTCGGTATCTCACCATCCCATTGGCTGTAGTACTATCATCTGCATCATTTGCAGTCACTGTCATCACATAGGTACCTTGAAACAAGAGAAAACAAAATCTCAGTGACTTTTCAGTGGATACAGAATGTACTGATTATGATGTGGGGACATGCACTTCACTCAGAAAGGTTATAAATAAGATATCCCATTTCAGATATACCTACTGCGAAAACACTACCCCCTGTTCAGATTGGACAATCTGTCAGGATAATTAATTTATAATAGACTAGATGACTTCTCAAGGACCTTTCCAGCTAATACGTTGTAGGTTTATTTCTACAATTTGTAATTTCTCAGATAAGAGGTGTCTTCTGCACTTTACTATATCTTTCCCCAAAGTTTTTTTTAATCTAACAATCAGTCCAGTTACTTTGATATGGAGGGCACTTCTAGAGTTTACCGGACTAAGGCCTCTTAGATTATAGACAGGCATTGCATTTCTCTCGGGATAAAGCGTAATTGTTCAGATGTCAATGTTCACTGTCCTGAGACAAATCCTGAAAAGGTTTGTGAGATAAGAAGTGGTAACGGTTTGTCCTGGAAGATTATCAAGTATATCTGAACAGTTATCCTGGGATTGCATTGTTAAACCGATGGCAGAAACGTGGCCGTGCATTTGGGTGGTCACTAAACCAGGGGTGAGCAAAATGCAGCCCGTGGACCGGCTGCGGCCCACCAGGCCATTTTATCTGGCCCATGAGGCCCCTAAAAAAATTAGATAATTAATATTTATAATTATGCGCTCCTGGCTGCCTGTCATGTGGCCCTTGATGGCATGCCAAAACTCAGTAAGCAGCCCTCCACCCAAAATAACTGCCGGCCCCTGCGACTAAACCCTTATTGGAAGGGTGATGTGGATACATGCCAACCCCAGGACTTTTCTATTCTGGGCCAAAGGTGACATCTGCTTCTAGCCTTAGAGTTGTCTGCAATCTCCGAGAGCACCGCTGCCATGCTCACCTCGAGTGCATCATGCATTGGCCCTTGCCATTGTTTGCTGCCTCCAACTCCTGCAATTGTGCAGCCCATCGCGGCAGCCCCTACCCCGTTTTCAAGCAGAAAAAAAGACGTTTCTGCAAAGTGAACGAAACAGCTGCTGCCCAGCAGGAAAGAGAATCAATGATTTGGTATGTGTGGCCAGCAATGGAGTGAATCTTTGGTTTGTTTCTTGTTAATCATCAGCTTCTTCATTTGCTTTGCAAAAAAAACCCCCCTACTTTCTAGATACTGTAGGGAGCGCAATGACAGGCTCATTATCACTGGAGTTTGGCAGCAGGGTGTTCTGTTAAAGTGGGAAATTATCATTATGATGGTAGAAGATGCTGCTTGATTGGATGGTCTCCTGCAGCTGCCTGGTCTTGTGTCCCTTAGAGCTGACAGGGCCCAGCTTTTCATTTGTTACTGCTGGTAGGAACGGATGACTGAAAAGATGGACGCATAGTGCTTACAGTAACCGTCTGCAAGACTATACAGAAGCCAATGCTAAAGAATAGATGGGAGGAAGGGGAAACAAAAAGAGACACTGAAATCAGGGATGGACCAAGTTTACTGGTGACAGAAAAAACAGGAGCATCGATAGAAAAATGGTAGGGCATTGCTTTTGCATTGCTCATTTGCAAGTCATGTTCAGTTTGGGGCAGATTATGGCAGACTGGGACTGATCCAGACAGAAGGGCCAAAGCAGCTCAGCAGGGATTGTGCCTGACCAAGGCCGAATGGGCAACTCAGTTGTTCCTCAAGTGCTGGTAGTACTTTTCCACTCCACCAGCAGCCGTAAGCATCCGTGCTGGCCACTGGCACATGCTGCTCACCTCACTGCCCCTTCTCACTCTTGGGACACCCATAGGCTTGCGCGCGCTAGCAGGGAGCACCTCTTACACAACACGGCTCTGTATATTCCTGGTGGTGCAACACACCTGAGATTTTCCAGTAAAAACATTCCAGGTTGCTTTTAAAAAGTTTGTGGCAAATTCCTATGACGAATGCAAATCCTATTCTTCAGCAATAATCCTCATTCCCATTGTGAAACGAAAAACAAATGATTCAACATCCTTAACACTTCAGCTTTGATTGCGGGAAGGGTCACTGACTTGAAGCAGGGTCACAGAAGCTATAAATTGTTCTCCTTTCTCTTGCAGCATTGCTTTTCTTCCCCAGCAAAAACAGTTATGATGAGAAAACTGATACAAATAAAGAAGCCACCCCTTAGATAAATACTATTACAGAGAAAAAAAATGAAATAGGAAATATGTTGAATGAGGAGACAATTGATTTGGAGTTTACGGTATGTTATCTCCATGCACCGCATGGAGAAAATGTCCCAGAACAGAACAGCAAAATACGTGGGTAATAAGAACAGAAAAGAAAGAGAAAAGAAAACCTACATTAGGAAGTATATACCTGGTATTCACACATCTCCAAAATAGTTGGCTCTATTTTATCACTTAGTTTTCAATGTAAGAAAACCTAATAGCTGAGAAAGAAAAGCTGCAGTTAAATAGCAAAAAAAGATCCTTTTGAATACATGAGATGCCCGGATGGGAGAATTTACAAAGCGAGTAAAAGCCTTACTCATGAGAACAAATTGTTGATCTCCCAAGATTATCCTTGTGAAGGAGGAGTAAGTTGGGGGTTACTCCTTGTCGGGCTGGGCCCCGATGGCTTCCTCTGCCCTTATGCTCGTTTCCCTTTGCACCGCACTTTGATCACTAAAATAATAACACTAGTGTTTCAGTCCCAGGACACTTCTTTATTTTGATTATCTTGAATCCACCCCCCCTAGAGACTGGTTAAATGCCTCTCGAGTTGTGAACCAGGGAGCTGTGTTTCCTGCTGCAATCTGCTCTGATTCTCATGTGTCAATATTATAATTTTCCATTATGAAATCCAACCTTGCAGGAAGAAAAAGCTTGGAGAACTTGACATTAATTACTAGATTGTAACTTAACAAGTGGTTCTGTGTAAGGGATGATGCGCAGCTGTGCCATCCCAGGACAAGAGTACGGTGGGTATCAGGGATGCTGAGAAAGTGGCACTCCTCTCCTTGATCCCCTGCTTCGCTCCAAGAGGGAAGTGATCGGATAGACTTGTGCTACCAACCAGCAGCAAATTACTTCTGCTGTATTGCCTTGTGTATGGATGAAGGTAGCCCACATGCCCACTCCCTTCACCTGCTCACATATTTCTAACCCATGTAGAACAAGAGTAGCAGCCCTAGGAGATCTGCTCTAATACCCATACTATGTCCCATGCCCAGGGAAGCATTGTATTAAGGGCCAACGTACAACCTTACCCTTGCTGTGTGCATTCTGCATTAGGCATTGTATAGATTTACCCCATCTTAAGCAAAATGCATCTCTGGTTGGTCATCTGTCTTCTCAAAGTATCAGAGTATTAAGCTTGAAGGGAGTATACACTGTAAAAATGCAGCAGGCTAAAACGAATGCCATGAAGACGCATGCACACATACATATTACATATGTCTAGGTAGAGCAAGTTAGATGTACAATCCCACAGTATCTAATGTTTTACATAAGAAATGCCATACTTGGTCAGACCAATGGTCTATCTAGCTCTGTCTCTGACTGTGGCAGGGGTGGATGATTTAGATATATTCTCTATTCATTACCCTCCCTGGCATCCCATTATCAGTTTAGAGAAGCCAGAGGAAGCATCTCCAAGCATTTCATTCAACAGCCATAACAGATTTATCATCTATCTTCTATCTGCTATGTTAATTCTACCATACTATACTTTTTGGTGACAATCTGCTATTGCCCATTTGATTGTTATCAGGTCTCCCAAATCCCGAGTGGGAATCTTTTTTCATACAATTCTAGCAGGAAGGCATTTCTATGGAGCTCAGCATTAGAGCATCCAGGTAAATATGTAGTGGCAAACTGTAGAGACTTTGCTTGCTTGGGGATATTCATTGATGTCAACAAGACTGCTTACAGGAAGGAGAGCTCACCAAAGCCAGGGTTGTACAATCCAGCCTGTTTTGTGCAGGTGTATGAACTTAATGGGAAAAAGAAAATGCAAGAGACATGCAAAAAAATGGCCACTGTCATCTTCCAGGTCTTCTCTATCCTGTATTACAGAGAGAGACTGTGCAAGCTGTCATCTCAATAAAGCGGGTGTGCAACCTGCGGCATGAGGACCACCAGTGGCACAGGCAGCAGGCAGATCAGGAAAGGAACAGGCAGCAGATGGGGCAGGAAGCAGAAGGCAGAGCAGGGGATCAGGCAGGGAGTACAAGGCAGGGAGCAGAAAGCAGAGCAAGAGATAGGGGCAGGAAGCAGAGAGCAAAGCAGACCAACAGATCAGGCAGAGGAAAGGGACTGAAGTGCAACCGGGAGAGGGGCTCATTTGTGGCATGCCTGCCGAAGAGGCTGGCTCCCCATGCATCTCCTCTTTACCACTCCAAGGTGCTCTTAGCCATATACAAATTGGGACTACAGTGAAACGATCAAACGCCATTCCCATCTTTAGCATTAGAAGCTGTTACGAGTTTCCAGTATGTATTCATACTACTTTGCCCTCTAGCATTCAAAGCCTGGCAGAAACAAGTTAAATTTTTGGATTTGAAAGGGTGGTGTACTAAAACACTGTACACACTACTTCTTTCAAATGAACACATGAACTGATGGAGCACAGGCAACCGACTGGCCAAACCCATGTGATGTATCATTTAAGAAACCCATAATCCAAAAAGGCAAGTTTGATATATTTTCATTACACCTGACCTACTCACTAAAATCAGGTACCTCATATATTAAATAAAATACATATCTTAGTAAATCATGTCAATATTAAACCAAATATGTTGCGTGTTGAATGATGCTTCCAAGAAAGTGACTGAATTATCGTGCAGAGAGAGCAGTGACAAGCTTCTAGTACCTTAGCTCTTCATTAACTAATGTGCCAAGTTCATATATCATCCAAGTTAAAATTAATGATTGACATGGCAAAGCCTCTCTGCCATTACAAGGGAAAACACCACGAACCTCACAGTACATCCCTTTCATTTCTCAAAG